GGGGGGGGGGAATATTTTAATTCCAATTATTGCGAATGATTCTGACTTTCAAGGGTTTGGAGGAGGAATTACTCTGAGCTTGAAGAACGTTACGCGGTAAAGAGTTATGGCCTCCTGAAAAGTCGTATTGATGATCTTGTTTGGGAAGCCAGAAAGATTTTAATCACTAAGGCGCTTGGTGGAGCTCTCACCCAGTCAAATACGTTTAAGACGAGTAACAATACTGGACGAGGAGCCTCCTGAAGGGAAAAGGATAAGGCGAAGGAAAAAAACGTGATAGGAGTCAGCGTCCGCAGGTTTAAAATTGAAGTTATTTAATAAAATCCTGTTTTTAATGGACATAACGCAGCAAATGAAATTCAACAAATTTTCCATGCACGAATTTGTTTGATGATATGGAGGACGGAATTCAAGATATTTATAAGCTCAGTAAATTTCTAGAATTATTGTTCTCAGCTTGTAAAATAAGCTTCACATGAATAGCAAAAACATACCAGTAGGTTTAGTTTGAAAGCAGTGTCAGGAATTATGGTTTCCTGAAACTTTTCCATTAGGAGGAAAGCATTGCTATTTTCAACACATGGCGTTCCGCTGCAATTGAAGATGTCCATCGCCATTAATGTGAAAGTTGTCATTTGTCAGAGATTGAGAAAAGAAATTATGGTCTCAGTGGGGTTTACAGGGCTAGTTAGTGTTGAGAAATAGTCTGCATGCATACATATATTCACTGTGGCATATGAATGTGCTCGAGAATTCATCATTCTCCGTTGCGAAAGCAGCGACGAAAGGGGAACCCATCCCAAAAGTTGACTTTCAGACGCGATAAGCCACTTCCGTTTCGTGCGAGTGAGGGCGAGTGGCTGACAAGCAGGGACAAAGTGAAGGACGACAAAACGAGACTTTTTTTTCGGCTGACAACAGGGCAGCCGCCCTTCCGCGCTTTTAATTACATGTAAAATATCTCTGGCTTCGGTCCAAGGGGGATGAGAAGTTTTTAAAGATGCTTCAGAATGTAACTGCCGGCAAGGCCACGCGTGATTGCATTAGCGAAGGATGAAAAGAATTTCTGGGTCGTGCCGGAAACAAATTTCTGATTAAGAAATGGATTATCCCTATGTTCATCATCGTAGTCGTCGTGATCGAGAATGAATCTTGCATCTCCATGATCGGGATTTTTTATGAGGTCTTCTTCAGGCTTGGTATTTAGTTGGGGATAAAACAGGATGATTTTCGATGAAAGGGTAATAGGAGGCCACTAAACCCTTTCAAAATAGATTTTTCTATTCTAACCTCTACTAAGGCAAAATAATGAGAGCCATTCAAATTCAGAGGAAAAGCCATTATAAGGAGTGAAGGATGAAGAAATGACTTTGTTGAATGCAAAATTAATAGTAAAAAACTTAACAACTTTGATTCAAATTTTTATTATCTTTATTTATCTTTATTTATCTTAGTGAGTCGGATCAAAAACAGTAGCTGGAGTACGTTTCGTTCGACGGCTGAGATTTCGCGTTTGAATCGGCTGAGGATAGCAGAGTCGGCAGAATTCGGAATACGTTCAATGCAGGAGATTTTTCCTCTGGTTTCCAAATTTAATGCTTCCACTAAATCGCGATTTAAAGGCAGAAACACAGAAATGTGGTGATTCGGGTGAAAGCAGAAATTCGGGCAGGCTGTCACGTTATGTGTTTGCGAAATTTGCACTCGTTTTGTCGCTGAAGAAACTCTGGACGTGGAGATGGTCCTTCAATTTAACTGTTTCCAAGGTAGAAGGACTGGTTCATCCGTAAAGGGAGGGGGGGGGGGAGTTAAGGTGTGATTCCTCATCAAATAATAAAAAATTTATCTCAGAATGTGGATAGTCTCTCAGTACCACCAACATTCCAA